TAAGTCATCTTTGGTTAACTGCTGTTGGCAGTTTTAATTTAAAGACACGAGAATTTATGATCTGAAAAACTTTTTTAATTTCCATCAGACATAAATAATTATATACACAGACCTGGATGCATTCATTTCATTTCTTAAACCATTGCAATTTATATGCTTAATTATCATCGTGCAACACGACGGATACCGCCAAATTTTTTTTACTCACTTACCATTAGATGAAAGAAATAGCAAGTATGAATCGGAGAAAATAAACGCCAGATCACAATTTTTGAGGTAGGAAATGATATTCACATTTTAAAGTTACAGAGAACAAAGAACACTGTTTATTGTACAAAGTTTAGCTTCCGCCGACATCGTAATTATTAATTTACAATAATTTACGTGAAAAAGTAGACATTCCCCGGGGCAGATTATAATGGAAAGTAACGGAGCTACTTAAAGAAATTGCTATATCTTAGTAGCTTCTAGCGGAAAATTCAAAAGGCATTTCTGATAAGAAAGGTCTTCTCCTTTGTGTTTTAATGTTGTCTATCATGAAGCGTAACACCAAGATACTTCACTCACACCAGGACGCCGACTCTTAAATGCTTTCTTTTGACTGCCTGCGAAACTACAACCTATGAAGTGTTACTAATCTATTAATCTTGTTTTTTAATTGATTTTCGATGCACTCTTAAGTTAAAATATACTTGCCAGAAAAATGTCTCCAAGATGTTATTGTATTTGCGCAGTAGAAAATCACGTCTTCTTTAGATTTATGCTCACAAAAGTGCATATTCTGATTTTCAGACATATACGAACTCTCAAATAATTGTGAACTCAATATACCATTGAATTTGCATTTGAGGTTTACCAACTACAAGTTGTTTTCCTTCCACGTAAGATAAATAACACATATGTCCAGTCTATCAATAAGATATCGCATATAGCTTATAAACTTTTGCAATATATGAGGGTTATGTTGCGTACTTCATAAGGAACATTAATAAGCGGAGAGTCATGATGCCATTTAAACAGATAATTGCATGTCTTAAAAAGATTATAATTTAAAAAACTTTCATAACTGTGGAATAACTTTTCTTCGGATAAAAATTGAAACAAACGTGATTTTCTGCCGAAGAATATTTTGAGTACTTTTTTAAAATGCTTTAAATAATATAATTGAACGTACAGGGGCATCGGAAATCAATGCAAAACATCAAACTACTTATTCAGTAGGTTCTTTTTTTGACCGGAAGAAATTGCACTTAAGAGCCAGAATCCTGATCTTAATGTAATGTCTTCACATTAGGCACAAGGGAGACCAATATTACAACGCAACCGAGGAATGCTTTCTAACCGAAAACACAGATCAGAATTTCCATAGTAATTTTATTAGAAAGACCAAGTGAAGTCTACGGACGCAAACTGCTGATAATAATGGAGCCAGAACCACGGAATTACAACTTAAAAATCTAACAACAAATGATGTCAGTGACACAAAAACCAATTGCTAATAAATGTACGTCCCCAGTTTATGATGACTGTTCGACCATCGGTTTCGATGACCTCCTCCAAGTTCCCCAAATGGATTGCAGGACGATGGATGACTGGAGCCAGGGTCTAGATTTAAGTGATAGTAGTCGTTGCAGGCGTCAACGGCACTCCGCACCTTCACTCGGGATCAAGAGGGCCAAACGGGATCAGGCGTTGACCGCTTTCCTCCATGCATGACTCCGACTAATGTACTTCGCAGATCAACGGGTACAAGTCCAAGCAGTGTGTGGCCACTTATGTTGTCAAGGAAGCTGTCTAATTGAATGTACCAGACACCTTATGACTTTGAAATCACTGCAGTAGATTTCCTCAACACAAGATCAAAGCACAGTTATGTCGTACGTCAGTGTGAACTGAAAAAAATTAGCATTACCATGGCCAATTTTCCCTACGCTGCGTAATGTACAACTGAGAAGCATGAAAAATTAACAGTAAAATAATTAAGACGCGGTGGGTTAAGTACTTTTTCAAACAGTGTTATAAGCTGGGCTTAGCACGAACCCGCTGCTTGCTTACTGCATAATGATTATTTTGCTGTTTGAAATTGGCGGATTTTATATTCACTCTCCTACTGGGTTGCAGTAAAATTCCTTTTTATTCCATTTTACAAAAGTACTCTTTTCAAATAACTTGTCTGAAGTCAAGGCGCACTTCCACTTAAATATGGCTTCAGAAATGTCATTTTCTTTCAATTTTCAAACCCCATGCCAAATATTTTCGCTAAAGACAAGCCATATGGTACAATGCCTTCTTACGACAAGGCCCCCTGGCGCCCATAAAATATTTAAGATGGTTTGGATCACGCCGCCAATTTGTGATTTTTTGGTAGATTCCCCACATTTCTAAGCATTATAAACTATTTTAAGGGCCATATCGTCCTAGTGCTATCTCTAGAGCAGAAGCACGTCTATTTAAAAGGCGCATATGGGATAAGATTATCATTCATTCTTTCTAGGGAAAGCAATATAGATAGTGACGAACGTTCAATTAAATGTTGATATTTGAGCGTAATCTGTATGGGTATCTGTAGGACTGCACAAGCAAAGTCAACATCCTCCCATATTATCGTAAGCGTGCAGCAATTTCTCAGGCACGTTTTGCATATTCACGGAGGTTATAGTCTCTTGAATAGAGCACATGGAAAAATCGAGTTACAGTTTCACGAGCTGACGCATATTATGCGGTGTGGGGCCAAACGATGGAACACAAAAAATGAATTTTGTATGGTCAACGCTGGCTGCAGCAGACATTGTTTTACTCATTACTGTCAAACGTTTCTTACTAAGCCTCTTATTTTGTTCATTTTTGCCAATTATATGAAACTTTGGTACCTCGAACGAACTGCAGCTGATGAAGAGCATTTTTTAGGCCAACCTCAACTGATTCCTTCCATAGTCAGAGTACTGAATTTTGCCGTTCACTGAAAACAACAACAATATTATGCGGACCTTGGGATGTAGAAAACGCCCTCGTTTAACCCTTTACTACACTGAACACTGGGGACACCGACAATCGGAACACATTTTGTGACATCTCAAGGATGTCTGGGGACGCAGCCAAACCGTAAGATTGCATAGAGCGATCATAGAGAATAATAATTCACCACATTCGAAAAACGCAGTGTGCTTATAATTGTGTCTGCGGATTTCATTCTAATCGTCTAATCACCGACCATTCTCTCGGCGCGTGCGATGAAGAAAACGTCTAATTCTGCTTACTTCGTTTACCTAATAAAGTTGTCAACTTTTTCTCCACCGAATATATTTGCTTTAAAATTATATTTCTCGGGATGCCTGTCTTCCAGTTCTTCTAATCTATGAACTCGAATAATTTCATCTAATGTCTATAAACACATCTCAAATGACGCAAGAGTGTAAAACTGATTCAAATTCCTGCAAATAATTTTTAAAAAAAATAATGCTTAAAACAAGCAGCGGAGTAAGTACCATGCTACATATTATATTAGTTATAAGGGGATAATTGTTCCAGTTAATGAAGACAACTGTTTTCTGAATATTTGCATGCTTATTTTTTATTTTTTGTTACAATTTAACATTTTCCAAAATAGTACTACTTTTAATCAACACAAGTCAGTAGACAGTATTAGATACCTCATCGTATTACAGGTGGCCTTGCGCTAAGTTTTAGGAAGGGTGCCTATTTTCGTGTCCCAACACAAACATTTATCTTAACCCTTCCTCCTTACTCTTCAAGCGCTTAGCACACGTAAGGGCATAATCATTCCTCTGTCTTACATTACTCTTGGTATGCCTTGTGTACCTTCATTTTATGAGAAAGTGTGCATTCTCTATTTAGTGATTTAGTCAGGGCATTCAGGACGGCTCCCGAGATATTGGAAAAGTTTCCACGGACATAAGCCTACTGTGGGATGTAAGTATTCTGCGGTGTACCTGTGGTCAACCAATGTAGCAGTTTCAGACAAGATCTCAGAGAAAAAAGAGCCACATAATCCAACAAAATGCATCTTAAAACATCTTAAAAACGGGAGTTATGGGTACAGTTGCTCTTCCTCACAAAGGCAGTTACGCATACAAATAATGCAAAGACAGTGAGACAGAAAACATCCACGCGCTTAATGTGTAAGTCATTCACGGCGGTTTCAGTGGCAGAGGGCTCGACACCAGCTTCTGACCTTCCTTTCGGGCCAGAAAACATAAGGAAACGCCAAATGCGTTTGTCATTCGCGCGATCAGCTGGGTTGGGACTCTGAGTATGGCGGAGGAGGGGGGGGAGGGAAGAGAGGTATGGGCCGGGCAAGACGAAGAGGTATAAAAATAAGAGATCTACACACAGGCGAGCAGACCTGAAACCAACACACATGTCTGAATTTCCAACGATTGTACGTTTGCACAAAGAAGAGGTTTGCGAGTCAGAT